ACACTTGTAACTTGATTGCTCCCCCTTTTCTTATTCTTTAGCCAGGTGCATCTGTAAAGATAAGTGCAAAGCTGTGAGGAATGGATCCTCTCTGGAATTATGTCCCATTGACTCCAGAACACAATACATAGGACAGTTAAATACATCACAGGAGTGTCAATTTGTAAAGTCAACAACAGGAGTCACTGTGCACTTACTCCTCATGTAGGATCTCTGTCCTTAATGTGCTGTACACTGAGGCTTAATGCTATAACGAGTACTCAAACAGTATATTTCACTTTGTGTTTCTATGGGGGTGCAAACTGTTGAAATCTTTACTTAATGTACACTAAACTGATCTTCTGTTAAAAAAAAAAAAAAAAAGAAAAGAAACTATCAATTCCCAACTTGACTCTCACTGGGATTAAACATGACAATAGGTCTGATCTGATTTCATCATCATTTAAAAAAAAATCATCTATTATTTTTCACTTTATGTTTCTGTGTGGGAACAAACTGTTGAAATCCTTACTTAAGGTATACTAAGCTGATCTTCTGTATACTAAGATAATCGAAAATGAATCTTGATGTGAATGGAAGGGGAGAGGGAGTGGGAAAGGGGAGGGTGGTGGGTGGGAGGGACGGTATGGGGGGGAAAGCCATTGTAACCCATGAGACGTACTTTGGAAATTTATATTCATTAAATAAAAGATAAAAAAAAAAATACATCACAGAGAATTAGGAAATCCTGTTTCCTGACCTTGTTAGGTACAGGAACTAACTTTAAAATAATGTCCTCTACTCTCATCCATTCTCATCTCCCACAGCATTAACTTTCACAAAACCTCGATAACAGGGGCTGGCACTGTGGTGTAGTAGGCTAAGTCTCTGCTTAGAGTGCCGGCATCCCAAATGGGTGCTGGTTCATGTCCTGGCTGCTCCTCTTTTGATCCAGCTAATGGCCTGGGAAAGCAGTAGAAGATGGCGCAAGTGCTTGGTCTCCTGCACCCACATAGGAGACCCGGAAGAAGCTGCTGGCTCCTGGCTTCGGATCTGCTCATTTCCTGCCATTGCTGCCATTTGGGGAGTGAACAAGCTGATGGAAGACCTTTCCCTCTGTCTCTCCCTCTCTGTCTGTAACTGTACCTCTCAAATAAGTGAATAAAATCTTTAAACAAAAAAAAAAAAAAAACTCAACAAAATACTTTCCCTCTAATTTTCATCTTTCTTTGAGTGCATTTTTATGCTTATAGCTTTCTCCACAACTTTGTCCTAATTTAACTTCTCCAATCTTCCATAACATACTTTTCTCCTCGTTTCATGAATTTTCTTTCTTAACCTACCCCATCAAGAATACATTATCATGTTTATTGCTTTCTTTACAATTTTCTCCATTCCTCCCACAGCATTTAACTTCTATGAACCTTCCACAATGTACTTTTCCTCTCAATTTATCTTTCTTAACCTTTCTCATCAAGAATACACTTTCATACCCATTGCTTTCCCCACAATTTTTTTCTACCTGCTGATTCCTTTAATTCATATCCTGAAACAGTCCTCTGACACCTCTGATTTAAGGGAAAAAAATCTTTTATAGCATTTTAATGCATAGTTACTTTAAAGTAGTGTTTTTTTTTTTTTAATCTTGTGAGGAAGTTGTTATTTGAGGAGATCAAACCCAACACTTGGAAAAGTTTGTCCCAAGACTATCATCTGAGAGATGATAGACATCCAGGTGAGATCTCCCAAGGTGGAGGGGACCAGCACTGATAACTAGTGTAAGAGTGTAAGAGCTATCTGGGGATGATTAGAGATGAGGCTGGGTAAAGTCTAGCCATGGCACCGTATCATTAGTAAAAGAGAGCAGGTGAACCAACGGAAAAAAGGAAGACCTTTCTCTCTCTCTCTCTCTCTCTCTCTCACTGTCTAACTCTGCCTGTAAAAAAAAAAAAAAAAAAGAGCAGGTGAAAAATTAGATAAAAAGAAGTAGCACCCCAAAGAGGAGAGCTTTTCCCGGAATGACTGCAGCTCATTGATGGGGCTGAGGGATAAATGGCTGAGGGAGTGGGGGAGAATGTGTATAAGAAAAATCACTTTCCTTTCTAAAGAGGAGTTTGGGAACTTCAGTCACTCTAAATAAGAATCTCTGCTGTCTGGGTGTCTTGCCTCAGTTGGTACAGAGGTCAGGTTGTTTCCACGTACCCAAGTGTTCTGATTTTTTGCATATACAAATACTTAATTTTTAAAACTACAAATGGGATCATACTCTTTAACACTTTTCAGTCAATAACATATCTTAAATAAATTATAGACCATTACAGAGATAAGCCATAGATAGAATAAATACCAAACTAGTGACAATGATTACTTATTTTTTATATATTATTTATTCTTTATATATTTGTCAACTGTTTGAAGTTTAAAAATTCAGTGAGATTTTTTTTAAAAAGATTTATTTACTTGAAAAGCAGAGTTACAGAGAGGCAGAGAGAGAGAGAGAGAGAGAGAGAGAGAGAGAGGTCTTTCATCTACTGGTTCACCTTCCCAAACTGCTGCAATGGCCAGAGCTGAGCTGATCTGAAGCCAAGAGCCAGGAGCTTCTTCTGGGTCTCCACATGGGTGCAGAGGCCCAAGGGCCTGGGCCATCCTCCACTGCTTTCCCAGGTACGTCAGCAGGGAGCTGGATCAGAAGTGGAGCAGCCAGGACTTGAACTGGCATCCATATGGGATGCCAGCACTGCAGGCCAGAGCTTTAACTCACTGAGCCACAGTGCCAGCCCTGAACCTGTTGTTTTTGAATTTTAGAATTTAAAATGATCAAGGAGTAGACATTGACCTGTACCCCATATTGGAGTGCCAGGTGAATCCACTTCCAAGCCAACTCTTGCTAATGTGCCTGGGAGGCAGGAGGTGATGACCCAAGTAATGGAGTTCCTGCCACACACGTCAGAGACCCTGGCTCCTGGCTTCAGGCTGGCCTGACTCTGGCCCTTGCAAACATCTGGGGAGTGAACCAGCTGATAAAAGATATATTTCTCCACCTTTTTTCTTTTTTTCCTTTTTTTTTTTTTTTTTTTTTTGACAGGCAGAGTGGACAGTGAGAGAGAGAGACAGAGAGAAATGTCTTCCTTTTCTATTGGTTCACCCTCAATGGCCGCTGCAGCCTGTGTGCTGCGGCCGGCGCACTGCACTGATCCGAAGCCAGGAGCCAGGTGCTTCTCCTGTTCTCCCATGTGGGTGCAGGGCCCAGGGACTTGGGCCATCCTCCACTGCACTCCCTGGCCACAGCAGAGAGCTGGCCTGGAAGAGGGGCAACCGGGACAGAATCCAGCGCCCTGACCGGGACTAGAACCCTGTGTGCCGGCACTGCAGGCAGAGGATTAGCCTATTGAGCCACGGTGCTGGCCTCTCCACCTTTTAAATAAGTAAATAAATAAACAAGTCGGTCTTTAAGGGATTAAAAAAATATGCTTCAGAATTCTGCCTATATCAATACATGAGGAATGCCTTCATACTTTTCAATCATTATATATATTCCAATGTATGGCTATACTACAAGGACACTGTAAAAAGCTCATGGCAAGTGTATGTTATGAAAAAACTGCAGGGATCTCAAACAATTTTTCACCAAAATAAACTCATATTTTAATTCCATTCTTTCTCAAAGTTTTTGAAGTATTTTTTCCCAAGAATAGATGCCAAAAATATTTTGTCATTTTATTATCTTTCAAATGTATCCCTCTACTATATGGAAGACTAAGGTCTCAAAATAGAAGATGTTTGATGATGGTCCCTAAAGGCAAAGCTCCACCACATGGAACATCATTGCAAAGACTCAGACACTGGGGCTGGAATTGTGGGGTAGTGAGTAAAGCTTCCACATGCCACGCCAACATCTCACATGGGCACTGTGAGTCCCAGCTGCTCCACTTCCAAACAAGCTGCCCACTTATGACCTGGGAAAAGGTGCAGCAGATGGCCCAGGTACTTGGGTACCGCCACCCACATGAGAGACCTGAATGAAGCTCCTGGATCCCGGCTTTGACTTGGCCCTTCCCTGGCCATTGTGGCCATCTGGAGAGTAAACCAGTTGATGGAAGATCTCTCTCCATCCTTCCCTCTAACTCTTTCAAATAAATAAATAAAACCTTCTCTTCCTTTTTGTGGGAAAATAGTAGGTTGCAGCAATTGGTTTTCAGTTGTATTCCGCAGAGATTGGTGGACATTCCCTTCAAGATAGAGGTCTGAAACACTGTATTTTATGGTTCTCCAACTATGAACAGATTCCTCTGTAGGCACCATTTCGTAGCAGTTGGAGTTTCCTCTGACGTAAGGACAATGACTGATGAAAGCCAATCTCCAGGTGAATGTTGTCTGAGTACCTCAAAAGCATCTTCAAATGCTTGGCCCAGCTTGTCTTGTTCAACACAAGTCATGCTTCATTAATAAACTGGCAATCCTGCATGGCTCCAATTCACGGTGGCTTAAAGATGTTTTGTGATTTCTCCTGAGGTCCATCTGCCAGTGAGAGGTGGGCCAGTACTGATGAGCCAACAGACTTCTGTAACACCAAGGAAGCCTCCAAGCTGTTTTGGGTTTTAGGAAGTGGAAAGATGGCTATAGGAAAAAACAAGTTATCACAGCTGCAACTAGGATCTACAAAGCTTCAGAGATGCTCTGTAGTCATGTAGGGAAAGCGTGCTGATTTGAGAGGACAGAAAAGGCAGCTCCAGTGTCCAGGAGAAAATCCAAGTCCTTCCCTTTGACAGGAGCACCTAGGGCTGACGGCCTGGGTGGTAGGAGGCTGTAGGAGATGTGCCACCTGGCACTCTTCAGTCACGTTGGGTCATCTGGGAATGGGAACCTGACCCTGGAGACCTTAGTCTCCGGAAGCAGTCAGCTTTCCAATGATTCCCCACTGCAAATAGGACAGGGCTGTGGTTTTTTTTTTTTTTTTTTTTTTTTTTTTTTTTTTTTGTGGCAACAGGGATGTTGAAGTGTCCCATCTGACCACAGCCATAGTGTGGGGAGCAACTCGGACTAGACTAAGTTACTGGAATTAAGACTTACTCTATGCATCTGCTCTCCCACAATATGGCGCTGGGAGAGGAGGAAACAGCTTCTACGCAGCTGCCTCTTGCCAACTTGAGTGATGACCTCCAGGAGCTGATCCTGCTCCTGATTGGAGGAGAGCAGCGTACTCGGCGTGTGGGCAGCCGAGTTGGGATTGGTGGAAGAGGACTATAAAGGAGGAGAGAGACAACATGCACCAGGAACATCTAAGGGGAACATCTAAGAGGAACACCTGTGCAGCCCCCGAGAGAGCCGGCCGGCGGTGTGCCGCTCCCCCGCGGAAGTGGGGAATGTGGCAGGGGGAACCGCCCTTCCACGGAGGTGGAAGGGATGGTAGCCAACCCGGGAAGAACCAGCAGCAAACCCGGGGAGGGCCGAGCAGACGAAAGAACAACGCAGGGTCCTGTGTCGTTCCTCCACGAAGACGGGGAGTGACACCATAGCACTTTGGAGACCCCTGGGACTTCAGGTCAATGTGGCCATAGGCTGCTACCAGAGCTGTGACCTTTTTCTTAGTCCTTCTTTCTTGGTTTTGGGTTTCCTCCTGGTCCTGACTGTAGAAGACAAGAATGAGGACCTTCAGGAGATTTTCTTTCTTTCTTCTTCTTCTTTTTTTTTTTTTTCCATTAAAGATGTCATTTATTTATTTGAGAGACAGAGTTACAGACAGACAGAGGGAGAGACAGACAGAAAAGTGGTCTATCTACTGGTTCCTCCCCAAATGACTACAACAGCTGGAGCTGGACCTTATCCAAAGCCAGGAGTCAGGAGCTTCCTCTGGGTCTCCCACATGGGTGCAGGGACCCAAGGACTTGGGCCATCCTCCACTGCTTTCCCAGGCCATAGCAGAGAGCTGGATTAGAAGAGGAGCAGCTGGGGCACAAACTGGTGCCCATAAGGGATGCTGGCACCACAGGTGGAGGCTTAGCTTACTATGTCACAGTGCTAACCCCAGGAAATTTTCTAATGTATTTCAGGTCCTGTTTTTAAGCCTGTTTTTAAGCTTTCTTCTCATATCTGTGGCTGACAGAATATTAGGATACTTAGGATGCCTGTTCTTTTACTGACTGGGAGATAGAGAGCTATGTTTGACTGAAGCCTGTCTCATTCTCTCTAAGAAGGCTGAGGGATTCTCCTCAGGGCCCTGGTCTATCATTGATAACTCATAGTATTTCAAGAGCATGATCCTCCGCAGTCTCTCCAAGACACAGGAAATGAGATGCTTTAACTTCTAGTCATCTATAGAATCGTCTGGTTTTCATTTAGGGTAAGCTTCCCCTGAGGAGCAGCCTGCCTTCCTATGTGATATATTGACCCTTTGCCTCCCTGATCAGGCAAGGATTTAAAATCCATACAAAATTCACCCCCAAAAGTTTCTGCAGCTTGGAGAGTCACCTGTTTCTTCATCTCTGTTAGAGTCTGGTTGAGGAGTGATATTACATCTTCCCAGGAGAGATCATAGACTTGAATTAAACTCTGGAAAACCTCTATGTACTTACCAGAGCCACCTGAAAATCTTCCCAAGTCCCCTGTATCTGTCTAAGTCTCCTGCAGATCAAAGGGGACTTTGACATGTGTGGGGCCACTGAGCCTTCCAGGAATTTCCTGGGAGGGGAAAATAGAAGTCAGCACTCTGGTGTTCCACTTGCTGCCAGTTAGTCCCAGATTGGGTGGGTAGAGGGTGGCAAATGAAGGAACAGCAACATTAGGGGTAGAGATTGATGTACTGTGCTCCGTAGTAGATGCAGGGGAGTAGGCAGTTGGAATCTTGAGGGTAAAGAGTTGACAAAGATCCGGCTTATCTGATAGGGCAAAGAAATCCTGCATATAAGGGATTTCAGACCATTTTCCTGCCTGTGACAAAAGAAATCCAGTTGGAAGATGGTATTATGGTTAATACTTCCTTCTGGGGAAGTCTCTTCAACCTCCACCTTGTATCTTTGCCATGCTGTGGTGTAGAAAAAAACCAGGTATTTTTTTTTCAAGGTTTGAGGATCAAAAGGATTCCAGTGCCTGATTATACACTCTAAAGGGGTACATGCTGAAGATGGCTTATTATGCATCTGAAACAAGAGAACAAGAAATAAAGGCATCCCTAAGTTTTTGCCTCTCCCTGCTAGAGGTATCCCTCAAGTTCCTGGCTTTGAGAGCATGATGTCCTGGAGCACACAGCAGGGAGAGGTCAGAGAACAGGAGCAGATGGTCTTATCTGCCCCTCCACCCCTTCCCTTGATTCCCTGGGCTGTGAACACCCTCCTTAGGTCACCTTATGGTTTGCCATGATTGGAAGGCTAGGATCTGAAGCTGGGCTTCCTTAAAAAGCCCTAAACTAGGACTCCAAAGGCAAGGATTTGCAAGGAGTCCCCAGTGCCAGGGTGATTGGACAAGATTACTAGTGGGAAGAGAGTCTTGGGAGGAAGAAGAAAACTTGCCCCACAGGTCTAGATCCAAAGAGAGGGCTATCCAGAGAACCTGCTGGAAGTAGGTCCAAACAGAAGTCCCTGGACAAGTGCCATCCAGTGGCTGGCTGTAATAGAGAGTGTGGGCATGTCTAGTCCACCATGTCTTTGGGGAGTCAAATGACCAGTATGTAAAGAAACAACTAGAAGGAACTGGTGATCTTAGCCTACAGAAGGCACCTAATGGTTTGCTGGGAGGTAATTTAGGTGCCTCAGGTTGAAGAGATCTCTAGGGAGGAAGAGTGGAGAGGTTGCAAGGCAAAGAGAGCAGCGAGAAGTCATGAAGAGTAAGGCATGGAGACAAGAGGAGCACTGGAGAAGGTGGTTGAGTAGAGATGAGCAGAGAATAAAATTGTCTCTGAGTGACATGCTGAATGCATTGATGTAAAGGCTAAAACAATCAGTCATGTGCACCCCTGGTTATGGCCCCTGCAAAGTGGGTTTCACCAATGTGTCTTATGAATGGGTTATTTCAAAAGTAGGCAAACTGAGGATTCTACAAGGGATGGTGTGGCGTCCCAGCACCAGCAAGAAGGACTGAGGGGACTGCGGAGAAAAAGGCCCCTGCAACCCAGGGAGCATGCAGCAGTGGAAGAGGAGAGGGGCCTCCTCTGAGAGCCATGATCTCTCATAGAGAAGCATCAGTCCCAGTGCAAAGATAGAGGGAGGAAGGCAGCCCTCTTCTGACCTTCGACTCCTCCTGTCAGTACTCTCCATTAGCAGGGCCCAGTGAGAGGACAAGGGCAAGACCTCCCCACTGTGGTCCACGTAGGTTCAGAACTCATGGTCTAAAGCTGAGGTAGAGAGGAGTGAAGAGTGGGCACGGAGGAACCAGCAGGAAACACCCAGCACATGCAGGCTTCAGCTATTCTCTCTCTCTCTTTTTAATATTTATTTATTTGAAGAGTTAAAGAGAGGGAGAGAGACAGTGAGAGAATCTTCCATTTGCTGTTTCACTCCCCAGATGGCTGCACAGCCAGGGATGAGTCAGGCCAAGGCAAGGAACTCTTCCAGGTCTCCCACGTGGATGGCAGGAGCCCAAGCACTTGGGCCGTCTTACATTGCCTTCCCCAAGCCATTAACAGGGAGCTGGATCAGAAGTGGAGCAGCTGGGACATGAATGAACTGGCCCCCATATGGGCAATGGCTTCACCTGCTACACCACAACCCCAGGCCCTCTATTCCTTTTCCACTGGAGTGAAGTACCTTCCCCTCCATACTTGGGTGATTTCTGTGATTACTTGTAGGCTGTTTTCTCTTTGCTTTACGATGTTTTTTCATAACTTGATTCCATTTCAAAGGGGGAAGTGCTGCATAGACAGGACTTGCCTTCCCACTTCTGGGAAGCCTGTTGTTATTTTAATCCGAGGAATGACAGCAGGGGATATTAGTGCTCCGTGATAGGGCCGGTGACAAAGGAGGTGAAATGCTCATCATTTCCCTGGGAATCTTTGCCTTTATGTCATCCAGTCGCTTTTACAAGGATGTTAGGATTGTCCACCCCTGGTGTACAAAGATGTCTTTAAGGACATTGCGACATTTCTTCTGGGAAGGAATACACTAAATGCCCTAGTTCATAAACCTGACTGCTTTTGTATTGTGTCTTGTTTCTTTCAAAGAATTTTGACTGATTTAAGGGATCTATCAGAGGAGGAGGAGAATTGATGCATCTAATTAGGAGAACTATGGTGGAGTGAGTCTTTACCTTGATACAGTAGAATGATATTTTCCTCAGGAGAGGAAGGAAGGTCCTAGGGTAGGGTAGATGCAGAAGAGCCCATTTAACAAACTCCTGCTTCTGCTGCTCTGTTTTTCCCTACGGAAGTGGTTGCTCTCCTGTCACTGGACAGTTCCTGTGGCACAAGGCTTGACACATTCCATCTCTGTGAACCTCCAGGGATTGAGGTCTGCTTCATGTTGCTCCTGTGGCGTAAAACTGGGACAACAGCAGGATGAAGGGTCTACACCTGGGCGTCATGCTCACCATTCATGTCGATTGGACTTTGGGGAAATTTAGACACAATGGGGCCCTGAATAGGTGAGTTAAGGAGTGAGAAAGATTCCTGGAGCCAGGTGTGCTGTTTCCAGGAATATTGGGGCTGGGGCAGAGCGTGCAGTTAGGGGGAAGGATAGGGAAGAAGCCTCCTGGTTTGTTCCTTGGGTCAATGGATTTTATGGTCGATGACAAGTTCCTAAGGAGGCAACCGATGTGTAACAGCCACTTCTGGGTCCGACATGTTCTCCACACTGAACAGAGCTCTCCTTGCTCCCCTGGGAACAGCAACTTAGCTTTCTTAACATCTAGAAACCTTGAAAAGTGGTGGTAGACTCGTTCATAAATTTCTCTTGAATATGATTATTCATAAGGAAGACAGGGCCTAGAAAATATACCTGATGATACTGATATTTCCACCTTGTGAAAAATCCACTGGTTCTTCAGGGGTTTGGCAACAAAACAAAGTTTATTTAAATATTTCAAAACACTGCTTTGTTGAACCTTGCCAGGTTTTTCATTTGCTAACCTAGCAGTGACAAGGCTAACATTGTCTTATAATTAGACTTCTACCTTCTTAGGAGATCTTAAGGAAATTCCAGAAATTCTGTGGGTGCTATCATTGCAGGCATTCCACAGAGAAAAACAAAGCAAAGTAAAACAAAGCATAACCTAGCATTATTCTATGATGACAGCTACTGTCAGAAGTAGAAGGTCAAGAAAATGTTTCCTTGAATGGAGCTAATTATTCTGTGAAAAATAACTAAACCAAAGGCTTCTCAAGATAACTACTTAGGCATCTTTGAGTACAAAGTCTTTCATGGACTCATTTTCACTCCTCACTCTTGGGTCAAAAAATGTAATTTCATGTCTGGAATCTCAAAAAAGATGTAAGACCATAAGCCCTCAAAGTTATGATATTTTTTGCAGGATTGTGAAGCCTGTCTTTTTCTGCATAGGTAATGTAAAGTTTTACCAGTGAATTGGAGTCATTTATGTGGGATCGAATCTCAGGTGTTTGGGGATATTTGGCTTTATACCCATCCAGGTATTAAACACTTGACAGGTGTTGTGTCAGTTTTCAGGAAGACCCAAGAATCCCTATCACCTAGTGCCTCTTCCTTCCTGTAGGTTCCTCCCACACTAACTGGACAGGACCTTTAACACCAATATGGACATTGTGGGGGAGGCCAGTGTTTGACTTTCACTCAGAAATATGCTGAGGTGTTCACCTTGCTCTCTATTTCCCTCTCCCTGGGGGAAGGCACCTGCGAAGCTGCAAAGAAAATGGAAAGGGGCTGAGCTTTCCTGTTGCACTCAGCACTGACTTGTCAGCCACAGGGTGAGGCTTTCTGGAAGTGGATCCTCTGCCCAGTGACTTGTGTGCAGCTCCAGTTGACATTCTGACAGTAACCTTACATATATGCCTGGTTGTTCCATTGAACCAGCTTCCAAGTTTTGGCCAAGACACTGGGTGACAAAAAGAAATATGTATTGCCTTTTCAAACAGTTGACATTTAGGGAATTCATTATTTGGCAAACATAATTAATTACCAAGTGAGATTATTAACTAGGAATCAGAAGTAGCTATTAAGAATTACCAGAATAGGAGCTGAGATGGGGCACAAACTCAGATAATACAGTATTCTTTCATTGCACAGTTCTTACTCAGATGTAGGAAGTGATTCAAGGGGCCAGCATTGTGGTGAAAAGGGTTAAGCTCCGACATGAGCACCAGTTGGAGTCCTGGTTGCACCATTTCCCATCCAACTCCTTGCTCATGCCTTGGGAAAGCAGTGGAAGATGGCCCAAGTGCTTGGGTCCCTGCCACACACGTGGGAGACCCAGATGGAATTCCATGCTCCTAGCTTTGGCCTGCCCCAGCCCTGGGCATTGTGGCCATTTTGGGAGTTAACTAGTGGATGGAAGATGGGAAGATTCTCTCTCTCTCTGTCTCTCTCTCCCTGCATCTCTCTCCTGCCAACCTGTAACTCTGCCTTTCAAACAAATGCATAAATCTTTAAGCAAATAATTTGTAACAATATAAAAAATGTGATTCAAAAAGACTGACTTTGGGGATACTGATGTGTAAGCAGTACATGAGATACAGCAGGTCATGAATAAATGAAGGGACACGAAATGGGATAGGGAAAGATGTTTGTTTGCTAAATTCCTATAGTCTGCTTTACTAGTAACCAGGGCTTAGAAGGTAGATCTAGGTAACTATAAATTATTATTTTTTAAATTTATTTTATTTGAAAGAAAGGGAGATCTTCCATCAGCTGATTCACTCCCCAAAATGGCCACAATGGCCAGACTGTAGCCAGGAACCTGGAACTCCATGTAGGTCTCCCACACTGGTGGCAGGGACCCAAGCACTTTGTCCAGACTCAAGTCAGGAACCAGGAACTCAGTCCAGTTCTCCCACATGGGTGGCAGATGTCCACATTCTGGAGCCATCATCTGCTGCCTTTTAAGGTCTGAATGAGCAGGAAGCTGGAATCAGGAGTGGAGCTGAATGTCCTGACCTGTGGCTAAACCACCAGGCCAAATGCCTGACCTTGGAGTTAATTTTCGAAGAGTGAAACACCAAGCAATTTATATCCAACTGAGAAATGCTTAGGTTGGTCTTCAGGCTACCAAGGCTTTGCACTATCACTCACCACATGCTCACTCATGATAGAAATTGCTGATGGGTCAGAGCACACATTCCTAAAGAGTTTTGAAGACAATCTCAGCTTCTCCAAGATGGAATGTCAGGTAACTTATATGGGGAACTAGGGAGAGAGTTACGTGGGAGTACATAAAGCTGAAGGAATTTTTTTCTTAATTTTCTCTGTAGCATTGCATTGTAATTCCACCCCTTACCTGTCAATCCAGTTTGCCCACTCTCCCATGATGCAGCTGTGTCATGTTTGGGGCCAGGATGGAGGAGGCGCCATGATAACCACATGAAAGTTAAGCTCTATGTGGATGCTCCATGAAACCCCCAGAAACTAAACCCTAAACTCCACCCCATTTGCATATTCAATTAAGGCACCATCTCCAGTCTCACAAAACAGACTGATAACATGGGAGTGGCGCCTCTTTGGCTCTTGGCTTCTGGATCATGCTTATGGGTCTTTCTCTGGCCTCCTCCTACTCTCTCTCCTCATAGGCAACCCTCTGGCCCACTCATGACAGGCCAGCACTCCATGTGGGGTGGCCTACCCTCACATGTGAATGTATATTCTCGCTCTTAAGTAAACCCTATTCTCACTTGTGCAATTTAAATAAGATTTTATTTATTTGAGAGGTAGAGTTACAGATAGTGAGAGAGTGAGAGAGAGAGAGAGAGAGAGAGAGAAAGGTCTTCCTTCTGTTGGTTCACTCCCCAGATGGCCGCAATGGCTGGAGTTGTGCCGATCTGAAGCCAAAAGCCAGGTGCTTCTTCCTGATTTCCCATGTGGGTACAGGGGCCCAAGCACTTGGGCCATCTTCCACTGCTTTCCCAGGCCACAGCAGAGAGCTGGATTGGAAGAGGGGCAGCCGGGACTAGAATCGGCGCCCATATGGGATACCGGCGCCGCAGGTGGAGAATTAACCTACTGGGCCTCTGCCTCTGCTTTGAATTCTTGAACTTGGAATAAAAAATGAGATACATATATAACCACCACTAATTATTTGAAACTACCACTGAAAGGAGTAGAAACACCTGGAGTGGAATGTGTTGTCACCCTTACTAAGAAGGGAGCAAGGAGGGGAGATAATATGGCAAAACCACGGCAAGAATTATGAAGGCACAGACTTCCACTGACAGAAGGGTGGGCTCCCGGGTCCTAGGAAGAAGCCCTCTGCTGCATTACAACTAGCTGCTGATACATCGTTGTGAAGATGTTTTATAAGGAGCTGCTTTGTTTGTCAAGAATGTGCAGGGGGCCTGAGAAGGAACTGAGAGCAATGAAGAGGCAAGCCGAGAGTACATTCTTTTAAGATTTATTTTATTTGTTTGAAAGACAGAGTTACAGAGAGAAGTGGAGAGATATAGAAGTGGAGAGAGAAGTGGAGGGAGGGAGGGAGAGAGAGGGAGGAGAGAGGTTGGTCTTTCATCTGCTGGTTCACTCCCCAAATGACTATGGCTGGAACTGAACTGATCCAAAGCCAGGAGCCAGGAGCTTCCTCTGGGTCCCCCACGTGGGGCAGGGGCCCAAGGACTTGGGCCATCCTCCGCTGCTTTCCCAGGTGCATTAGCAGGGAGCTGGATTGGAAGTGGAGCAGCTGGGACTTGAACTGGTGCCCATGTGGGATGCTGGCGCTGCAGGCTGTGGCTTTAACTCACTCTGCCACAGTGCTGGCCCCCTGAGAGCACATTCTTACACCAGCTCTGGGGTGTCTCTAGTCCTGCACCCTAAACTTTGCATGCCAGTTCAGCACACCTACTTTCCTGTGATGCACTTGAGTCTTCCTGACCACGCAGGAGATGATATGATGAACATGTGTGAACTGTGCTGCACGTGGAGATGCCATGAACATTTTCTTGGAGGACATCATGTAGGCCAAACCCCACCCCAGCTCCACCCTGTTTATATATTCAATTGTGGCACCACCTCTACCTAATAAGGGTGACTAGTAACTGGACAGGCGTCGCAGATTCTGTCTTTCTCTCTCTCTCTCACCCTCACCCTCTCTTCCCAGGTAGATTCTACCCATGGGCAGCATCTGTTCACACCATGTCTGAATGTGTACTCACTCTCTCCTCCCATTCTTGCACTTTACTTATGTCTCTGCTTTGAATTCTTATTTCACGGGGGGGGTGAGAACCTAGGATACAACAGCTGGGGAACATATCCCTACAATAGGAGGAATATTCATTTCACATCTGGAAGGAGAGTGGCAACTTCTAGAATTTGGAATCTACCTCTTTTCTCCTTGTGTGGTTGTCATGACAACTGCAAACGGTTATGATGTAAAGAGAAGTGACTTTTGCTATGCTAATGCATTATAATGAGGGTACAGTGAGGGTTTGGGTCTTCCTGGAGGTTGTGTTAGGTGCCATGTTGGATCTAGCTGGTTTGAAACAGTTCTTTTGCCTGTATCTTGTTTTTCAGCCTACTTCCTGGTAGGTGTAACTGGGATTGATACAAATTGTCTCACTTGGGACCTGCCACAAGCATAGGAAACTCAGATTGAGTTCTGGGTTCCTGGCTTCAGCCTGACCCACCCCTGGCTGTTGCAGATATTTGGGGATAGAAATAGCAGACAGAAGATTTCTTGCTCTCTATCTCTGCCTTTCAAATAAAGTGAAAATAAATATGTAATATTTTTAAAAGTTCATAGAAAAATGCTCATTCTCTTATTTTTTGCTTTAGATTTATTTATTTATTTGAAAGGCAGAGTTACAGAGAGGCAGAAGCAGAGAGAGAGGTCTTCCATCCGCTGATTCACTCCCCAAATGGCTGCAATGGCCGGAGCTGGGCTGATCTGAAGCCAGGAGCCCACAGTGGGTGCAGGGGCCAAAGGAATTGGGCCGTCTTCCACTGCTTTCTCAGGCCATAGCAGAGATCTGGGTCAGAAGTGGAGCAGCCAAGAGTGAAACGGGCACCCAGAGGGGATTCCGGCACTGCAGGCAATGGCTTTAACCACTATGCCACAGCTCTGGCCCCTCATTCTCTTTTTATTTGATTTTTTCATTAACATTTTGAAGTCCCAGCCTATATTTTGCATATTTATAACACATTTATTTAAGTAAAACACAGAAAAATAAATAAAACAACACAGTCTGCCTCCCTTGATGGTAAACCTCAAACAACAACAACAACAACAACCAACCAAACAGAAAAACCCATAAAACATACGAGGGTTCTGGCAGGTGAGATCAGGTGTAGGAGTTGAGTCATCTGGTTGTAATTGTTAAGCTTTAAAGTGATTACTTTGCTTGCTATGCTGCTTCCCTGTGAGGGAAAATTAGAACTCTTGGCCCAGGGAGTAGATGAATACGTACGATAGGACTCCCTGTTTGAGGGTAAGGATTTTGAAAAGGATTTTGAGGGCAAACAGGTCTGTGGTGTGAGATTTACTTGGATGGACAAGCAGAGTTGGGGAACAGAGGAAGCTTGCAGCAATTGGTGATGACCGGAGAGGCTGTGTCCACTTCCTTCCTCCACCACTTGCTCAACAGGCTCTCACTTCCTCACAGTCGTCAGCAGAGGTTTCGTGTTTCTTCTGTTCTGTTTCATGATAAAGGTTAGTGAAGAGCCTCATTTGTTTCAGTTCACTTGGTTATCCATTCAGATAAATGTTCTGGTTTGTGCTTCTGCCTTTGCCTCCCTGGCTCCTCCTGTGTCTTACACTGTTTAACTCTGTTCTCTCTCAGGGCTGTGAAACTGCACCCCCTCACCGTGCCTCAAATGCAGACACTACATCAGGTCCTGGTGTCCCACGGTGCCACCCTCCCTCCCTTAGCTTCCAGTTTCTCTTGCCCTACTTTCACTAAAATAAACTCACTGAGTTGAAGAAGCCGTGAAACTGGCTCTACAAGGTCCCTGATCGCCAGACTTATGAGTCATTTATTTCCCCTATGGATGACATTGTGATGTGACATCTTGTCTTGAGGGGTTTCTTTTCTAAGAAAACCCCAGGTCTTGAGCAAAAAGGAACTATTGCCTGCATCTAGCCCCTAGACTAGATGGAGCCCATTCTGCCATCCTCAAAGTTCCCTGAAGAACACGATATTGCTGACCAGAGGAGGGCCATAAGCGCTGCAGGCCAACCAGAACTTGGACGTGAGCTGAACGTGCATCTCCCAGCCCCAGCTTCACCTGATAAGAACCTTTGTCCCTAACCCTTTGGGAAGCTCAGGAATTGAGTGGTAGCTGCCTGGTTCCTTGCTCTGCAATTCACAATAAGTATCTACTTCATCCCACCACCCTGGGGTCAGTGATTGGCTGGTTATGCATCTGGAAAGCAGACCCATTTGTGGTGGTTCTATTGCAACACTCTACCCAGTTTTGGGGGGTGTTCTATAACAGACACTGCCAGAGGACCAGAATTTTTACATTACCTTTTCTTTCCAAATCTTTCCATAGGTTATCTTCCAGTCTCTGACACTGCTGATGAGAATGCCCAATGAGACCGCTCCTGCAGCAGGTGATTTGGCATAATTACATCTCTATTTACCTTTTACAAAAGAGAGACAGAGTGAGAGAGAACTTTCACTTGCAGGTTCATTCTTAAAATGCCCACAACAACTGGGGCTGAACCAGACCAAACCCGGAAACCAGGAAACCCATCTGGGTCTCCCATGTGGGTGCCCAAATACTTTAACTCATCTCTGCTCCCTGCATGGGTCTGCATTAACAGGCCTCTGGGATCAGGCAACAGAGTTGGGACTCGATCCCAGGTACTCTAATATGAAATGCTGGTGTCCCGAGCAGCACAACACCTGTCTCTGCATTTACCTTTTGACTAAGCAACTATACTTCTAAGAGTTTATCCCAAAGTTCCAGCTGGTAGAAATACAAAAATGCAACACATATGTACAATGTCATTCTTTTTTTAAGATTTTTTTTTATTTGTTTGAGAGGTAGGGTTATAGACAGTAAGAGGGAGAGACAGAGAGAGAGGTCTTCCATCTGCTGGTTTACTCCCCAAATGGCTGCAATGACGGAAGCTGGGTGTATCTGAAGCCAGGACTCAGGAGCTTTTTCTGGGTCTCCCATGTGGGTGCAGGGGCCCAAGCACTTGGACCAACTTCTACTGCTTTCCCAGGCCATGGCAGAGAGCTGGATCAGTGGAAGAGCAACCAGGACTAGAACTGGTGCTCATATGGGATGACAGCTCATATCCTCAAGTGGAGGATTAACCTACTGTGCCACAGTACGGGCCCCCACAATGTCATTCTTTAACAGTATTATTTATGATGACATGTCATGGAATTAGAAATGCCAAGGGCAGGGTTTGTGGTAAAGCAGGTTAAACTGCTGCTTGTGGTATCAGCATCCCATATGGATGCCTTTTACTGTTTGTGTCCTGGCTGCTCCACTTCTGATCCAGCTCTCAGCTAATGTGCCTGGGAAAGCAGTGGAAGATGGCTAAGTGCTTGGGCCCCTACACCTATGGGGGAGACTTGGATGAAGTTCCAGACTCCTGGATTCAGTCTGGCCCAGTCCCAGCCGTTGTGGCCATTTGCGGAGTGAATCAACAGATGGAAGGTCTCTCTGTGTCTCTGTGTCTCTCTCTTTCTCTATAACTCTGCCTTTCAAATAATTAAATAAAATACATTTTTTAAAAAGAGAAATATTATTAAGATCCACCAAGAGGGTACTAGTCGAAGAAAGTATGGTGCATCTCGAAGTATGTGGCTTTAAGAAGGAGTGAAGAACATCTCCCCACACTGCATGACCTCACTTCCTGATATATATTATGTGTAGTTTTATTTTCTTTTTAAAAATTTTATTTAAAAGTTTCATGTATTTCATAAATACAGACTTAGGAATATAGTGACATTCCTCCCTCCATCCTCCCTCCCACCCATGCTTCAATCCATCCTCCTCCTCCTGCTCCCAATCCCACTCTTAATTTTTACAAAGATCTATTTTCAGTTTACTTAATGATCATATAGTTAACAGTACACTAAGTAAAAGATTTCAACAAATAGGATAAAGAAAAAAGAAAAGAAAAACAAGACAAAACGAACAACAACAACAACAACACCACTGTTTCATGATGGAAGAGACAAGAGCTGTACACAATCATAGAATTTCAAAATGTCTATTTCACACCAATACATTACATTTCAGGTACTCTATTAGTTACCTTGGGTCAAGGAAAACATATGATATCTGTCTTCTGGGGACTGGCTTATTTCACTTTTTATAACATTTTCCAGTTGAATCCATTTTGTTGTAAAAGACAGAATTTCATTTTTTTCTTCCAATGAATAGTACTCCATAGTGTATCTATACCATAATTTCTGTATCCAGTCAACAGTTGATGGACATCTGGGTTGATTCTATATCTTCACTATTGTGAATTGTGCTGCCATGAAAATGGGGGTACAAGTAACTATTTCATTTGCTGTTTTCTTTTGGTTTGGATAAATTACTAGGAGTGGATCATTTGGCAGGTCTTTATTCAGATTTCTAAGATATCTCTATACTGTCTTCCACAGAGGCTGCACCAGTTTACATTCCCACCAACAGTGGACCAGGCTACCTTTTCCCCCACATCCTTGCCAGCATTTATCATTTGTTGATTTCTGTATGAGAGCCATTCTAACTGGAGTGAGGTAAAACCTCATTATGGTTTTGATTTGCATTTCCCTGATGGCTAGTGATCCTGAACATTTTCTCAAGTGTCTATTGGCTGTTTGAATTTCCACTCTTGAAAAATGGCTGTTCAAGTCCTTTGCCCATTTCTTAACTGGATTGTTTGTTTTGTTGTTGTTGAATTTCTTGAGCTCTTTATAGATTCTGATGTTAAGCTTTTATCAGTTGAGTAGTTTGCAAAAATTTCCTTCCATTCTGTTGGTTGTCTCTTTGCTTTGCTGAGTGTTTCTTTTGCAGTGAAGGACTTTCTCAGCTTGATGTAATCCCATTTGTCAACTTTGGCTTTGATTGCCTGTGCTTCTGGGATCTTTTCCAAGAAGTCTTTGCCTGTGCTAATGCCTTGCAGAGTTTCCCCAATGTTCTCTAGTTATTTGATGGTATCGGGTCATAGAGTTAGGTATTTGATCCATTTTGAGTGGATTTTTGTGTAAGATGTAAGGTAGGGGTCTAGTTTCAAACTTCTATATGTGGAGATCCAGTTTTCCCAGCACCACTTGTTGAAGAGACTGTCCTTGCTCCAGGAATTGGTTTTAGCTCCTTTGTCAAAGATAAGTTGGTTCTAGATGCATGCATTGATTTTTTGGAGTTTTTATTCTATTCCATTGGTCTACAAGTGTGTTTCTGTGCCAGTACCAGGCTGTTTTGATTACAACTGCCCTGTAGTATGTCTGGAAATCAGGTAGTGTGATGCCTCCAGCTTTACTTTTGTTGTATAAGATTGCTTTAGCTATTCGGGGTCTCCTGTATTTTTATATGAATTTCAGCGTCATTTTTTCTGTATCTGAAAAAAATGCCCTTGATATTTTGATTATTATCACACTGAATCTGCAAGTTGCTTTTGGTGGTATGGACATTTTGATGATGTTGATTCTTCCAATCTATGAACATGAAAGATTTTTTCATTTTTAATGTCTCCATCTATTTCTTTCTTTAGTGTTTGTAATTTCATCATCGAGATCTTTGACATCTTTGATTAAATTTATTCCAAGGTATTTAATTTTTTGTAGCTATTGTGAATGGAATTGATCTTAGAGGTTCATTCTCAGCCATGACATTGTCTGTGTATATAAAGACTTTAGATTTTCCTGTGTTGATTTTATATCCTGTCAGCTTACCAAACTCTTATGAATAGGATCATGTCATCTGCATATAGGGTTAATTTGATTTCCTTCTTTCCAATTTGTATGCCTTTGATTTCTTTTTCTTGCCCAATGGCTCTGGCTAAAACTTCCAGGACTATATAGCATCCTTGTCTGGTTTCAGATCTTAGGGGGAATGTTTTTAGCTTTTCCCCATTCAACAGGATGCTGGTCTTTTGTCATAAGTTGCCTTGATTGTGTTCAGTAATGTTCCTTCTATACCCAATTTGCTTAAGGTTTTCATTGTAAAAGGGTGTTATATTTTATCAAATACTTTGCATCTATTGAGATAACCATATGGTTTTTGTTATTCAGTTTGTTAATATGATGTATCACATCGATTGATTCGTGAATGTTGAACCATACCTACATACCAGGATAAAGCCCACTTGGTCCAGGTGAATGATTTTTCTTATGTGTTGTTGGATTCAATTAGCTAATATTTTGTTGAAGATTTTTACATTTATGTTCATAAGGAATATTGGTCTATAGTTCTCTTTTTCTGTTGCATCTTTTTCTGGCTTAGGAATTAAGATGATGCAAGATCTACAGGAGTTTGGGAGGATTCCTTCCCTTTCCATTGTTTTGAATAGCTTCAGAAGAACTGGAATTCGTTCTTTAAATGTCTGGTAGAATTCAGCAGTGGAAAGCTTTCTGGTCCTGGGCTTTTCTTTTTTGGGAAGGTCTTTATTATTGATTCAATTTCTGTCTTGGATATTGGTCTATTTTGGTTTTCTTTGTCTTCATGACTCAATTTTGGTAGATTGTATGTGTCTAGGAATCTATCCATTTCTTCCCAATTTGTTTGCAGACAGCTCTTTGTAGTGGTTTATGATTATTTTTATTTCTGTCGTGCCTATTGTTACACTCCCTTTTTCATCTCTGATTTTATTGATTTGGTTCTTCTTCTTCTTCTTTTTTTTTTTTGGTTATTTTGGCCAATGGTGTATCAATTTTATTTATTTTTTTCAAAAGTCAGTTCTTCATTTCACTGGTCTTTTATATTTTTTGTTTTAATTTTGTTTATTCTCTACTTTTAATTATTTCTTTCCTGCTACTAATTTTGAGTTTATTGTTGTTTTTCTAGGTCCTAGAAATGCATTGATAGCTCAGTTATTTGGTACTCTTCCAATTTCTTCATGTAGGCACTGATTGCTATAAACTTACCTCTTAACACTGCTTTTGCTGTACCCCATACATTTTGATAGATATGATATGTTGTCATCTTCGTTTGTTTCCAGAAATTTTTTGATTTGTTTTTTGATTTCTTCTGTGACCCACTGTTCATTCAGGAACATGCTGTTCAGTCTCCATGTGTTTGAATATGATCTAGGGACTTGAGTTGTTGATTTCCAGCTTCATTCCATTGTGATCAGAAAAGATGCATGGTAGGACCTAGAGTTTTTGAATTTGCTGAGACTTTATGGCCTAGCATATGGTTTATCCTAGAGAAAGTTGCATGCACTGGTGAGAAGAATGTGTATTATTAACATAGTTTTCAAAAGCCTTGCCTGCCTGCTTTCTGTTCCACATTCCTTTGTTGGATGAATTCTTACTTATCCTTAGACTTCATACAGGATGGGGAGCAAGATGCGTAAGGTGCTTCAGCCATCATCTCCCCTGCAGAGACACTGCTTGTATCACCTACCTTTACATAACCAGAGGAGTGTGTCGTTTTAGTATATTAAGGAAATATTCACTGAAGAAGGCAGCAAGAAAAGAGTTGCCTTGTCACCTCTCTCCCAATTCCTAGCAGCACAGGGTAGAGAGAGATTCCTCCTTCTTGAGGAACGGAGGAGGAATTAAGCCAAGGCCTTAGGACCAGGCCCAGTCTCAGACCCACCATGGTGACATCCAGGGCTGGCTAGAGCCCCACAGCCCCTACCCCCAAGCCAGTACCCATGGACTGAGCCTCTTAAGACCATGTTAGCCAAGTGGCCGGAGGAAGGCCTGCAGTACTTCTTCCCCAAACTTAGATGGCACCTGCTGGAGAGTGGGACAAGAAAGTGAGCAGAGTACTACTGAACACTGCAGAGTGCAGAGGTTCAAGCAGGTCTTATCCAGAAAGGAACTAAGCAAGCAGCGTGTGACTCCCTGTCACTTGAGATCAACCTTGAGCCAAGAGGACTTACCTTGGTGGGGACAGAGTAAGCAGGAGAAGGCTCTTGGCAGACACCTGGGGCATATCCTGCTGGAGAACTTCGTGCCCTCTCAATCCCTGAACTTGGTCTTGGGAGCTTTCAGGTGACCACATTGCTGCATTGCCCTCAAGAAAGAAACAAGCCCATGTTGTGCCCTCCTTACCCAGGCTCTTGTTGTGTGGAGACATCACGAGGCCCCAACCACTCTAGATCCTGATAGCAGCTGCTCCCAACAGCTCTGCAGACTCATCCCTGGGTCAGCCAGGAGGCCCTGTCTCTCCTCTCATGGCCTGGGAAGATCCTGCCTGGCACAGCCTGAGTGGCTACACCTGCAGAGAACACAGAAAAAAGGTAGATGGCTTCACTTACCCTCTTGTTGCTCTGGAAGCTGCAGCCTGGACTCATCCATGCATCCTTGCCACAGGAAGCAAACAGCCCTGAGTGGCTCATCCCACAGAGGCCCAGAGAAGCAGCTGAGTGGCCCTGCCCACCCATGACCCTGGGAAATGACAGGGCAGACTTTCCTAAATGTCTCAGCCAGCCAAGACTCCTGGGAAGCAGCTGGGAGGCCCTGCCTCTCCTCCTGTGGCTCCGAGAAGGTGTTGAACAGCTCTAAGGACTTGCTGGGCTTCATCCACCACCTCCTCTCAGCCCTGGGAAGTAGCTGGGCAGACCTCCCTGAACAGGTTGATTCCCAAAGGCCCTATAAACTTAACTGTGCAGCCCTTGGACAAGACTACCAGGTGCTCTGCACCATAGCTACCTGGGCCCACAGAGGTGACCCCATACTCCCACAACTTGCAGAAACTGACAGGAGCTGCACAGCCACAGCCAGGTGCATGGCTCAGAGAGCTTCCAGGGAACCTGCCCTGGGCAAGGGAGGTGCATTACAAATGCAGTGCAATCCCACAGGCCCAGCAGGCTAGGCCACTGAGACACCTGCAGACATCACCGATGTTGATTACAGCTGAAGGAGCTGAGTTACACTAGGACACCTGTTGGGAACCACATGGGTTGGATAGGTCACCCGGGTGGGTGGCCTGGGCCAAGGACTTGGGTCATCTTCCACTGATTTCCCCAAGCCATTAGCAGTGAACTGGATCAGAAGTGGAGCAGCTGGGATACAAACCAGCACCCATAAGGGATGCCAGCTTTACCCAATATGCCACAGTGTCAGCCTTGAATTTGTTTTCTTAAATACACATGAGGCTATTCAAACATTGATTTCTTTCTATGTCTGTTTTCTGAATTGTTGTTTGGAAAAATATGTGCATTTCACATAAGTTGTCAAAATTGTTGGCATAAAATTGTTTTCAAACATTGAAAACAGAGATATGCTAGGACTCAGCAATCCCACTCCTGGGTGTGTATCCAAAGGGAATGACGTCAGTCTATCAGAGAGATGTCTGCACTCCCATGTTTGCTGCGGCACTACTCAGAATAGCCAAGATGTGGAGTAATCCTAAGTGTCCATCAGCAGGGGATGGCTAAAGAAGATGAGAATATGTACATAATGGAATACTGTTCAGGCATAGGAAAGATCAAAATCTCATCATTTGTGACAACATGAATGAAGGCAGAGGACATTGTGTTAATTGAAAGAAGCCAGACACAGAAGACACATGCTGTGTGATCTCACTCAAATAAGGCCTGTGAAAAGATGGATCTCACAGAAGTTGAAAGGAGAACAGTGGTTACTGAGGGTGGGGAAGGGTGGGGGCTGGGGCTGGGGAGAGCTGAGTCAGTACTTGCAATGCTACAGCTAGGCGGAACACATTCTGGTGTTGTAATGCATTGAAGAGTGACTTCAGTGAACAATCAGGTATTGTACATCAAATTAGCCAGAAGATGATTTTTAATGTTTTCACCACAAAAAAATGATAGATGTTTGAGGCAAGGACTTGCTAATGACTCTAATTTGATCATTATATGCTTACGTATTTTGTATACAAATATCACATTGTGCCTTGTAATTAAAAAGAAAACAGACAGGGGCCAGCATTGTGGCATAGCAGATGAGGCTGCCGCCTGTGATACCTGCATCCCATATAGGCATTAGTTCATGTCCACTTCTGATCCAGCTACCTGCTAATGCACCTGGTAAAAGCAGCACAGGATGACCCAAGTGTTTGGGTCCCTGCTACCCATGCAGGAGACCTGGAAGAAGCTCCTGGCTTCAGCCTGGCTCAACCCTGGCCATTGTGGTCATCTGGGTAGTGAACCAGTGGTTGGAAGATCTCTCTGTCTCTCTGTCTCTACCTCTAAAAATAAAATAAAATAAGATAAAATAAGATAAAAATAAAATAAGATAAAATCAATTTAGAAAGACTGAATCCAGTTGATGGCCTTTTCAGAAAAAAAAAAAACTCTTCATCCCTATTGCCCACTGGCTAATGGTTAGGGGCTCCTACCTTTGCTGCCAAAGCAAAGTTCATGTCAGTATCACAGCACTCCATGCACTGTGATGTAATTGTCCCTGAATCTGTCAGCTGCTCCAGGTGGCTAGTTCTCTGGTATTTGCTCACAACAGGCATGCTCTTTGCTAAGTTCTTACTGAATAAAGGAAGGAATAAACAAAGATTATCAACTAGGGTTCTGAATTTTAGTCGAGTTATTGGGAGACTTTCTTAAAAAAAGGAGGGAAATGATAATACTTGTTTTTTAAAGATAACCAAATGTTGATCAGAAAAAAGATACAGAAATATAAGCTAGAGAGGAGAGTGCCTGGTCCATTTGTTGTAAGCAGAGAGGCTTGTTGCTGGAGATGAGGAACTATTGCTGGAGGTGAGAATTGATGTTTCATTCATTCATTTGTTTAAAATATAATTTATTTATTTAAAAAATATATTTACTTAGAGAGAGAGAGAGAATATGCTCCCATCTGCTGGTCTACTGCCCAGATGCCTGTAATAGCCAGAGTTGAAACCAGAAGCTAGGAGCTCAGTTCAGGACTTACATAAATGGCAGGAGCCCAATTACTTGAGACATTAGCACTGCCTCTCAGTGTTGCTGCTAGCAGGATTTACTGGGCACATATGAGGATGCTTCAAACAGTTCATGAAAAATGAGACATTTTTGAATAACATGCACTTTCCATGAACTTATTGAAAACCCCTTTTATGCATGGATGTCAATTTTTTTTGCACCAAAATAAGATTATCCTTTAATTCAATTCCATTTTCCACAAAGTTTTGAAGTGCCTTGTGCCAATTGATAGGCACCATGGCAGACTAATAGTATAAAGGTAAACTTGAAAGATAGGTCTCTTGGTTATGCAGTCAGAGAATGGATTCAAGAAAGGTATTCCAAGAAGTAGAAATGGCATGGGGAACAACAACAATGAGTGGAGTGCGTGGTTATTCATCAGACAGATAGTATAGCCCAAGCAGTTAAGTGAGACTGGGCTGGGCACGGGTCAGCCTCGTGGATCCCTTATTTTGAGGCTGAAAACTGGCTTGAAAGTGGATGGTACTTGCACTATAGGTATTATATAGATGTTTATAAAGGGAGCACCCAAAATTGAAGAAATCTTTCTCTGAATTGCAGATAATCATCATGGGTGTTCACTGAAATCACTGTATTCAAATGTGAAATAATAAAGATGATCTCTGCAAAGGAGGCAATCATGTAAGAGTATGTATCTTCACCTGGACCAGTGGTAATGGTACTATGAGCATGTGGGTTTTTCCTTTTCTTTTTTTCTGTCTCAGAAAGACACACAGCAATGGAAGATAGACAGGAGGTGATGTCACCTTGGGAATTTTGATCAAGGGCATATGTATCAGAGCCTCCACCAGAAAAAGGTCAGACCCTGGAATTCATGCCACTATTAAAATAAAGTATAGGCATTCCTCATTTTGCAGCAAAATGCAGGACCATAAAAAATGACCATGCAAGCTGAAGCCATGCAAAGCCATCTTAATGACCAACAGGAAAAATTACAGTTGTTCTGTGACCTTTAAAAATTTTTGTCCAAATGTCAAAAATCTTTTATTGTCTGTTGTGAATGTTCCAGGGAATGGGAAAAAAAGGTAAAACTGATATTCACTAGAACTGTACACTGTAAATGTTAGGCAGATTGAGAATTAAAGCATTTTATTTCTTTTAAATGAAGATTTATTTGAAAGGCAGAGCTACAGAAAGAGATAGATACATAGAGACACACACACAGAGAGAGGTCTGCATCCATTGGGTCACTCTTCAAATGGACATAATGGCCAAGGTTGGGCCAGGCTTCAGCCAGGAGCCTGGAACTCCATATATTTTCAGTTCATTCACTTCTGTGGCCAAGTTCACCTTTAGTGGGCTCCTCTGGCTGCATATGTTGTCTCTTGAACAGCAGTGGTGTCCACATACCCATGGTAAACTATTTCTTCTGTCACTTCATTAATGTGTGATTGGAAAGTTACTTCTAGTCTTACTATCTTGGGTTTCTGTGCTGTACTTCCATTTTTACCAGCCAACCCCCTCTTTTAAGTTTCATTTTTATTCTCTCTTTTGATGGTCTATTTTTGTCCTTCACTCTTTGTGCTCAGTGTGTGAGTGGAATCACAGATGCACAGTGACCAATCACCAGTAGACTATGGAAGAAGCACTGTGATTGATCACCAGTCATGGTGTGGCTCTGATACTCATGTGGACTCTGTGGACTGAAGAGCTAGCAGCAAAGTGTGTTCTTTTGGCAATTGGTCAGTTAATATACCATGATAACTGCAATTTGCATCATGATATTGGGGAGACTTCTAATTGAAATGCATTAATATTGGAACTATGCAAAGTGTCGAATGCTTGACTTCATCATACGATAGTGTCATCTTAATATAAAATTTTATGTTTGGGGCTGGCACTGTGGGGTAGCCGGTAAAGCTGCTGCCTGCAGTGCTGGCATCCCATATGCTTGTCAGTTCTGAGTCCTGGCTGCTCCACTTCTGATCCAGCTCTTTGCTATGGCCTGTGAAAGCAGTTGAAGATGGCCCAACTCCTTGGGCCCCTGCACCTGTGTGGGAGACCTGGAAGAAGCTCCTGGCTCTTGGCTTTGGATCGGCGCAGCTCTGGCTGTTGTGGCCAATTAGGGAGAGAACCAGCGGATGGAAGACCTCTCTCTCTCTCTCTCTGCCTCTCCTTCTCTCTCTGTGTAACTCTGAGTTTCAAATAAATAAATCTTTAAAAAAATTTTTATGTTTACTTACAAAAAGCTATCAATAGTGATACATTATAATAATATATATTAATCTCTTACACAATTTCTCCCCAAAATTTCCTTCCCAGGATAAAAAATTATCTCCAAAGTATTTTTATTCCTATATTCTTAATTTAAAAAATGGTAGTAAAATTTATAGATCTTATATTCCACACGTAAATTTAAGTTAGTTTGTCCCTAACTGCACTTTGCTGCCAGTCTTGTATCATCTCTGTTTGGACTCAGTCTTCATAATGAGCATCTCTTTCAGTGTCTCTGATGGCCTCTTCGTAAACTCCTATGAGCATCAGGACGTCCTGTGAATTCCACACTGAGATGCCTTGCGTGGTCTGCCGCAGGGCCATCTGCTGTTGACTCCACAAGTCTGGGATGCTGCTCATTTGCCCTTTGATGGGAACAGAAGTTGGTCCTTGTGTTCAGGGGTGATGTTTTGGGGTCTGTTTTATAAGTAATGAGCTTTACCATGGGGCTGATTTTTTTCTCCTTAAAATGCAGGGATTTGAGCAATAGTCAGACCAGTAGGAAAACAGGGTTCGGTTGTTCCATAGCAAGGATGCTGATGCTAAGGACGGAGGAGCCTTTGCAAGTGAAATGTCACTGTAAACATTGCTCACAACGAACTTGAGAGCTGAATGACTTTAAGTCCTGAATGTTTTCTGTGCTGCTTACAAGGGGGTGCAGTCCTTCCAGCCTCCCGGTCTTTTTTCTGCTTCTCAACTATTTTGATTCTGTTGTGTTGGCTTCATTGTGAGACCAGCAAGGCAGCCATAGTGCTCTAATGTCACACTTAGCGAGTTTAAGTTCCTCAGGAAAGAGCTTTCTTCCTGAGGGAGCTCCTGTACCCTCGTGGAATCCAGGCAGAGGGGCTCCCTGAGATACCAGGGAACTACTAACTGACCGAGACCTTGTTGCCCACTCCAACCCTCGAACCAGGGGCTTCAGTAGAATCCAAAAGAGCAGAAAGCATAAACCAAAAAGACAGAAAAGTAAACACAGAGGTAATAACAAACTTAAGAAGAGTACATACAAGTCTCAAAGTGTGTTTCTGTAAAGTATCTAACTATGTAATACATACAAGAAATATATCTAAAACAAATTTACTTAGAGGTGTTAAGAAAAAAAGAAGATGGTCAAAGATTAGCCACGCAAACTAAAAGAAAAAAATGAATTGGGTATATTAATTTCAGGTAAGGTTAATTTTAAGGCAAAAACATTAATGCATAGTGTCATTTTAGACAAAAGGTAAAATCTGCATTGGAGATTCAATAGTGAATAACTTTTTTGAACCCAAGTGTAAACATTTGTTAACAAAGAATTTATTTAATTATTTGAAAGGCAGAGTTACAGAGAGAGAAAGATCTTCCATCTGCTGGTTCACTCCCCAAATGGCCACAATGGCCGGGGTTGGGCTGGGCTCAAGTCAGGAGCCAGGAGCTTCTTCCAGGTCTCCCATGTAGGTTCAGGGATCCAAGCACCTGAGCCATCTTCAGCTGCTTTTCCAGGCATATTAGCAGGGAGCTAGATCACAAGTGGATCAGCCAGGACATGACCCAGAGCCCATATGGGATGCCAGTGTCACAGGCAGCAACTTAACTGACTACGCCATACCAGCGCCCAAGTATATACTTTTAAAGCATATGGGCTGACTGAAACCCAAGAATGTCTGGGCGTGGCAAGGGCGGGAAGGGCCTGGGCAAGGGCGGCGCCAAGCGCCACCGCAAGGTGCTGTGCGACAACATCCAGGGCATCACCAAGCCCGCCATCCACCGCCTGGCCTGGCGCGGCGGCGTCAGGCGCATCTCGGGGCTCATCTACGAGGAGACCCGCGGCTTGCTCAAGGTCTTCCTGGAGAATGTCATCCGCGAAGCCGTCACCTACACGGAGCACGCCAAGCGCAAGACGGTCATGGCCATGGACGTGATTTACGCGCTCAAGCACCAGGGACCCACGCTCTACAGCTTCGGCGGCTGAGCTGCCCCCGCGCCCCAGACCCCCACCCAAAGGCCCTTCTCAGGGCCAAAAAAAAAAAAAAAAAAAAGAAACCAACAACAACAACACAAAACATATGAAGCAACTCCTATGTGAAATACAAGGAGAAACTGATAAATACCCATATGTCATAGAATTTAACATGCTTCCTTCAGTCTTTGGACAAGTCTAGTAGGCAAAATAAAAAAAGGATTTAGTTAAAAGCCAGTAACATAATTTGAAAGATTCAATTAATAGGTATAAATTACATAAAACACAAAAAATTCACCTTTTCAAAAAGTGCTTATTGAATATTTAAAAAAAGATTCTTGGACAATACGAACATGCACGTCTATTTTGCAAACCATAAACTATCCAAGGTACATTTTTTTTTTTTATTTGACAGGTAGACAGTGAGAGAGAGAGAGAGAGAGAAAGAAAAGTCTTCCTTCCATTGGTTCACTCCCCAAATGGCCTCTACGGCCGGTGCTGCACCGATCCGAAGCCAGGAGCCAGGTGCTTCTTCCTGGTCTCCCATGTGGGTGCAGGGCCCAAGCACTTGGGCCATCCTCCACTGCCTTCCTGGGCCACAGCAGAGAGCTGGACTGGAAGAGGAGCAACCGGGACAAGAACCTGGCACCGATATGGGATGTCGACACCACAGGCAGAGGATTAACCAAGTGAGCCATGGCGCTGGCCCCAAGGTACTTTTTTTTTTTTTTTTAACATTTTATAATAAAACTAGAAACAGCAAAAATTTGAACAATAAACAAAAGTCCTCAAATTGAAAAAACAAAAATGAAAAACACCAAATCAAACCTCAATCCATAATGACCTCATAGTTATTTTTTTAAAAGATTTTATTTATTTATTTGAGAGGCAGAGTTACAGACAGAGAGAGGGAGAGACAGAGAGAAAGGTCCTCCATCTGCTGGTTCACTCCCTGGATGGTTGTAATGGCTAGAGCTGGGCTGATCTGAAGCCAGGAACCAGGAGCTTCTTCCAGGTCTCCCACGTGGGTGCAGGGACCCAAGTACTTGGGCCATCTTCTACTGCTTTCCCAGGACATAAGCAGAGAATGGATTGGAAGAGGAGCAGCCAGGACAGAACTGGCGCCCATATGGGTTGCTGGCAGGTGGAGGCTCAGCCTACTGAACCACAGTACCAGCCCCCACCTCATGGCCGTAAAAGCATTTTTAGTGCATTGTTTTGCATGGCACAGCAACTCATGTAGATTTCCTGAAAAAAGGAATCATATTGCTGAACTGCATGAATTGTGATAGGAGCAGAAAAGTCATCAGAAAAAATTAAGGAACCCAGCTCTTTCCTTCTCTCTGTCCGAGACATCTCTGTCTCTCCTCTTTCCTTTGACTCTGACCCTAACCACCGATGTGGGCACAAATAATAACAGTCTCACTGATGTCAATATAGGATGTTTCTTGTTTCTTATCTCACTTACATACATTGTTTTCTGTGAGTTGTTTAGGAGAAGTTAACATCCCTTTGTTAAGGCAACTCCAAGACAGAGAACAAAATAGAGTTTCTGTGCCTGCAAGGGTAAACTTGACCCTGGCCTGTGGTGAATTTATACCATGATGCAGCATGAATCAGTCCTTCCTCAGTTGCACCAAAACAAGCACTCCACTTTGTTCTTTTATTACAGGGGGCATATATGCATACCTTTATATATGGTTGAATTTTAAGAGTACATTATAGTTCTCGAAGATATAAATCTTGAGTTACCTTGAAACATTACTTTCCAGGCTTTTACATCCCCTTTATTGTCAGATAAACAAGGTACTAAGGTGTTTTATAAAGTTGGAAATGGAAAGGAGAATAAACAATCATTTCTATGGTGACACTCACAAGTACTTCTAGTTATTTTTTCTTGGTTTGATATAAAAATCTTGCTAATTATTGTTCTAGATCTCAGCTCCAGTTGGGCGAATGCATCTCGGGGATCTAGCCCCCAGGCTGCTTCTTACATCAGAGTCTGTAACACACCAAAGAATGAAAGAAGCAGTTGCACCCATGAGCTTGTTTGCTCCGATGACATTTTTCACTTGGAGGAAGTGATCAGGTGAGCCCAGGCTGAGGAGGAGCACTAGGGCACCTGAGATTTACCTTCTGAGTCTTAGAGATCTATTACTGCAAGAATCCCTCGGGTAACATGCATGATTAATCTACCAGAGGAATAGGTTTTCTTGGAAAACTAGCACAAGAAGCAGAAATCCAATCAAAGGTGAAATCCAGTCCAGTAGTCCCTTGATGTAGTAGTTGCTAGGGTATTTTTTTAAATTCACATCTATGATCAAGAATTCTGTTTGACAGATGTTTTGGCCAGTGTTTTCTGAAGCACCGTGATAACATTTCCATGTCAGGGAGGTCATACACAATGATAGTAAATGGGGTGGGAGAGTCATTTGAGGTGGGGAGACTACCTGGAAAGATGTTTCAATTCTGCTGAAAATGAGTCCCAAAGGTGGAATGAGGTGACAGAATTGGAAGGAGAGATATTTGAGGAATATGAGAAGATTAAGGTGATAAAGCTTGGTGATTTATTTGTGAGGGTTGTAAGTAATCTGGAAAAATCTGGCGCTCCTCTGCTGTGCCTCTGTTGATATAACTGACTGAGCTGTGGCATTGAAGGACATTATCTTCTCTTTCTGGGACGTGATGAGATCCACCAATTTACGGAATGTACAAACAGGTATGTATTACAAATAACAGCATTAGATGATGGGGAGAGTTTATCCAGTAGACTGTTGGTAGGCTTGGTATCGGTCTTCCCAACAATGTCCACCTTCTATCCCCAGAACCTGTGACTACAGTGCAGATATGATTAAATCAAGGGTGGAGGAGATTATTCTGAATTATCCCAGTGGGTCTGATATAACCACAGTCTTTATTAGAAAATGGCAGGAATATCATAGTCAGAACAGGTGATGTGTCAATGGAAGAGAGGGAGAGAACATGGAAAGGGGAGCAGGATTCGGAAGGATACAGGGCAATGCATCGAAGAATGCAGACAGCCTGTAGGAACTGGGAAAACAAAGAAGTGAATTGTATCCTATTGCCCTCGGAAGGAGAACTGCCCTGACAACTCATTTTTGGACAATGACCCCCAAAAGATAAGATAAGATAATAAATCTACAATGCTTTATACTACCAAGTTCATGGTAACTTGTTACAAGAGCATTAGGAAACTAACATATTCCAACTTACATTATTTATTTATTCACTTCTTCTATCTTTCCTTCACTTTTCCAACAATATTTATGGAGTATCTATGTGCTAAACATTGTTAGACATTTCAGTGAACAATGTGCTGAACCTGGCTCCTAGCAATTTACAGTGTAGGCAGATTACAACCACAGAAGTACTTCACTTGACAAAATGGTGAATTATTAGATCTGTAGAAGTAGAAGAGCTCTGGAAAACTCTTACTTTTTAGTTGACTCTTTAGTCTTCAACACTTCTAACTTTTTGTTTAACTCTAGATGCTGATGACATCTTGAATATTCAACAAATAATTTACATTGAGAATATCATTGACGTGGAGATTTAACAATATTTCTACTACCTACCCCATTACCTGTGTTGCCAATTCTTTGATCATCCACTTTGTGTGATTCTCTTCTTAACTTGCCTCCACCATGACTCATTTTTTTTTTTTTGGACAGGCAGAGTGGACAGTGAGAGAGAGAGAGAGACAGAGAGAAAGGTCTTCCTTTGCCGTTGGTTCACCCTCCAATGGCCGCCGCGGCCGGCACGCCGCGGCCGGCACGCTGCGGCCAGCGCACCACGCTAATCTGATGGCAGGAGCCAGGAGCCAGGTGCTTTTCCTGGTCTCCCATGGGGTGCAGGGCCCAAGCACCTGGGCCATCCTCCACTGCACTCCCTGGCCACAGCAGAGAGCTGGCCTGGAAGAGGGGCAACTGGGACAGAATCCGGCGCCCCAACCGGGACTAGAACCCGGTGTGCCGGCACCGCTAGGCGGAGGATTAGCCTAGTGAGCCACGGTGCTGGCCACCATGACTCATCTTTACAGGTTCCCAGAGCACCTGCTGATGGCGCTCACAGTCTGGAATATGCAAGGTAGCTGATCCTCCTCCTAGGCCAGGTTTAAACCCAAGCTCACTGGATGTTTGCCTGGGGAACCAATTTATAATGGCATGATCAGAAAAGGAGACACAGGAGCTGGGGAGAGACTGCTCAGCACATGTGATCAGAAGGGTATTTCAGGTTTGTCTTTATGAGTGAGAGGTGAGAACCCCTACCTGCCAAGGGCCTGCCTCATTAACTAGTGCAACCTGAGTTGGAATTCACATTCTTGGTTGGCCATGGCCTTGTCTACTGAACCTCAGCTCAGTCCTGTCCCCAAGACCAAGGCAAGACAGAGAGAGGCAAAAACAGTCCAGATGTGGCATCCTGACTAGAGGGTGGTCTTCCCACCATTAAAAAATAAGGCTTGGTTCATATAGGGCAAAACAATATTCTTAACCAATAGGATTGTAAGTTCCCTGGGATTTAATAGCCACTAGGCATCTGTTAAGAAATAATATGGGCTAATATTGCTCACTTGCTGAAAACAAAGAATGTCTATTTTGAACTTTGGAATTTTTAGGAATGGAGGTATATTAAGCTGCTAAGTTCATCTGCTGAGTGAGACTAATAGGGGATCCTTGCTTAAAAGGAAGACTCCAACAGTACCACAATGGAACTGCTGATTTTCCTAATCCAATGGGTATCTGAGGCACAGGGCATAGAGAAAGAAGAAGAAAACTAAACATTTTTATTTCCACTACTTTTGGAAAACAATTCAATCAACATTGCTTGGCTTTAATATGTCATGCATTATATCAGAGGTTTGGAGTTAAAAAAAGAAGAACCTTGTGTTTGAGAATCTTGCTTCCTCTAACAAAATTTCTACATGAAAAAATAATAGGATGTTGCGAAAGTTCAGAACGCTCTTTGTTCAAGGAGGCTGATATCCTTCTAATCACCTCGCCTCCACACTCAGCTTGACATATGAGATGGGCTCAGTCTATCCTCAGCTGTCCTTTATGTTCTC